AGTTAAGGAAGAAAAAAGAGGTCCATTACTTTATCATTCAATGTCTAAGTAACTAGATTGGGGCTGGCGAGATAGCTCAGCAGACTAAGCATCTGCTTAGGCAAGTGTAGGTGATACAGGGAGAAAAACTGATCTTGGGTGGGTGACCTCCAAATGATATAGGGAACCTCCAAATGATATAGGGGAAAAATGATCTCCCAACCTGACCTGGACACGTTAGTGTTCTCTAAAACCAAAGAATGAATTTTCGGAATAAATGGAAGTTATGAGCAGAATATATTTATTGAGGGAAAGAAAGCTCCGGTCCAAGAGAGGGACAGGAGGTGGGCCCGAGCAGGTTGTCCTCAGGAAGCTGTCTCTTCCAGGGATTTTCATTGAGTAAAACCATGCGGTGAGGTGGGTCTAAGGTGGTGGAGAACATGGGAACTCGCTTAGGTGGATATGGGGTGGGACAAAACTATGGTCAACCAATGGGATTATAAGAACCATTGCTCAGGTAAAATTGATTAAGTTCAGGACCAAATGGGGAACTGAGTCACATAGCAAGCAGGAATGAATGTAGAACAGGACTTTATCAGGTAGGCATCCAAGAGTAGTTGGATTAATGATTTTTCTGGCTCCCTCAGGGTGATGATCAATCTCGCATGCCAATCTTTAGGGAGGTCAATATTTGTTTGATTTTTGGTCTTTAGGTCTGGCCCACGGTGGGAGCATCCGTCCCTCCCACAGTTGTAAGGTATCTTGTCTTCTGTGTTACATCGTTCGAGGGCCTAGCCCTGTCTGACTACCTATAATATTTCTATCCAACTCGGCTGCCTGCAACACAGGGAACAGGGTTCAATCCCCAGCACCACATACCATGCCAGCCCCACCCCTGGGCATGCTGAGCCAGTCACCAAGACTAGGTGTATTGGCACACTCCTATAATCCCAGCTCTGGGGAGGCTGAAAACAGGAAGATCACTAGGAATTTGAGCTGTGTAGCAAGATCCTGTACCAAATACATACATACATACATACATACATACATACATACATACATAAACTGGTTTGTGCCAGTGATAATAAAAGGCCCTGAGACTACTGTGATGAGTAACATAAAATCCTTATCCCCAAAGAATTCAGATGAGTGCAGCAGCAGCAAACCTATGGCTCACATTTATTGTGTGCTTAAGAAAAAGATGTTAATGTATAAGTTAATTTTTTTCTAAACTAAAATCTCAGCATTCAGATTTAATTGTACTCTTGGCACTTGGTGATAACCAAGTGGGTTTTGGGTTGCAGTTTGGGCAGTCTTGAAAAGGTTCACCATCACTGGCCTTGTATGAAAGTGGAAGAAGTAAATAAGCACTTACAGATAATGTGTTAAGTGCTACAAAGCAGAGCACTGACTGGGAGTGTAAAGAAGGCGGAGGGGCAAGAAGCCTCACCGTTGAGCACTGGTCACAGAAAAGATGCTGTACCTAACATGCTATTCAGATGCCAAGTGGAAGCTCCCTAGCATCTGGAGTGAATGAGTCGGAATCCCCACAAATCCCTGACCTGTCCAAGTCTGGGGCCCTCCTGAGCCCCTCAGTGCTTGCTATCCTGGATCCTTCTGATACAGGGCGTATGATATGGAGATGGCATAGCACCTCCAAATAATACAAGGAAATACAACACCTGACCTGCTAGGTGTCTAACACAGAGTTTATGTTCTCTAAGGCTGAAGAATTCTAGGAAAAAGACACATTAAGAATAGGAAGGAGGGGCTGGTGAGATGGCTCAGTGGTCTAAAGCACCTACTTAGAACAAGCTTAGCAAAGCACAGGGACCACCGTTCAATCCCCCAGCACCACATGCCAGCCAGCCCCGCCCCCTGGTGGACTGAGCTGGCCACACACACACACACACACACACACACACAAATAAATAAATAAAATTTAAAAAAAAAAAAAAAGAATAGGAAGGATTTACAGAGAGAAAGCTTCTGAGAGGGACAGAAAGGGTTCTTAATCAGGTGGCCCAGTGCTAACTTCTCAAAGTTTTATAGTGTAAAACCATGAGGTGGGGTGAGGTGAGGTGGGTACAAAGTGGGACAAAACTATAGTTAACTACTAAGATTACAAGTATAGTCACTTAAGTGATCATGATATCTCCCCTACCAGGTAAGTAGTCACTTAGGTAATACAGATCCAGTGGGAAATCCCAAGGTATGAGGTGGAACAAAACTACGGTCAACTAATAAGGTTACAGGTATAGCTGCTTAGGTAATTGTAAGGGACACAAAGCAAGGCAGACACCACTGGCAAGCTTTTGTGAAAGCAACAAGACAGCCAGTTTAATGCGTGGGTACAGGCAGACAGGTGATTAGAGGGAACAAAGAAAAGTAGCTTTTTTATAGGAACTGAAAGAAGGCGAGGGACATTAGGTGAGATGTTAATGAACATCTGTGGTCAAAGTTCTCTGGCTGCCTTGCACCTCAGTGGGCAGAGTCCTTGAGGTGTCCAGTGTAAAATTTTCAGCTGTCTCCAGATGTTGAGCATCTTCAGGACTCCATGCCCTAACTTACATCTTTTAGTATCTGCTGAGAACAATGAACAACAAGTACTCAAGATCTTGAGAGGCTCACCCAATTTCTAGTAATTTTTTTCCAAATAAAAAACAAGAGAAATTCTGATGAGATATGTTAATATTTTTCTGCATCATTCCCCATATCTCGCTACTCCATTTCCCTACACATTTACATTTCACAATGGCCCCTGGATACATTATTAAGTAGATGGAGAAACGCAATCCATCTAAGATTAAACTATCACACAGGTTTCTAATGTATGCAGAGCACTGAATGTTAGCAGATATATAATGGTTGTTTTCCATATATTTTTGCCATCTAGGTAATATGATTTTGCCAGCTAAGTAATTTGACCTCAATCTCATGATGCCCACCCCGCCCCTTTTTGTTGTTTTTTGCAATGGCTGGCCTTGAGCTCAATTATGTTAGCCTAAGCTAACCTGGAATTCATAGCAATGCCGCTGCCACTGTCTCCCAAGTGCTGGGACTACAGGTATGCACCACCACACACAGAAATCTATCACATGCCGCCTTTAAATACTATTTAGATGCTAGTAATTCCCAAAGTATTTATCTCCAGCTTTGATCAATGCTTCTGGACTTAACTCATAGATCAAATTTCTTATTTGACACCTCCACTGGATGTCTAATTGCTGGGCAAATTCAACTGACACCCCTGCTGACAACCCCTCCTTTTCCTGTATCAGCTGCACCCTGGCCTTATAAGCAAGTGGCTTCACTGAATCCTGTTATCTCACTGCCCTGCCAGCCAAGGCCACCCAGATATAGAGCTGTAAAACTGTCACCTTGGAAAAACTGCTCACAGCCAGGGAAACTCATGCCTTCATCGTGAAGGGAGCAATCTGAGCCCCACCCAGGCAACCTCAGCAATTAAGACAGACAATAAAAATGCCTGCACCTTTTTTAAAGACTTTTATGCTGAACTATTGTATCATTATTATATGATACATGGTAGATACTAAAAAGAAGTCTTATGCAAAGTGTCACACATGGAGCCCATCTGGGGGGCCAAGAAGCAAATTTTCTTACTTATTAGTAGTTGACTACTTTCTCACTGATAAATTTGGTCCCAGTAGCCTGTGCAGGAACCTTAGTGCACAGCTATGGCACTACATATCTAAACAAGTCATCTTTGATGACATAATGAACTCATCCTAGCCTTGGGTTTTCTTTCTCCCTTGAGATACAGTTTAAATTTTTCAAGGTTTTCTTTTTTTTTTTTTTTTTTTTTTTTT